TGGTGAAAACGAAGGGATCATTCCGCTCCGTTTGATACCGCCCAGACCTTACATCAAAATCTGAGTTGATGGCGGACTCAAACTAGCAGAGTATTTCCAAGGTAGGTGATGTTACTGACAGTACTGTCGCAGTGAGTCAGTTAGGTTCTGGTGCGAATGTCGCGCATGTGATTCCGCCTGTAACACCTTCCTGGCCTTGCCGCAGGTCAAATGATTGAACTATTCTCGAAAAAGGCATGCTTTTCCTACAAGGACTCCAGATGTGTGGAAAAAAAAACAATTGAAGAGTATCACACTCGCAAAGTAATTTTTTTCAATGCTTTCTCCTACGTTTTTCAGGAAGTTTCTTGAAATTCAGGTACAACTGATTGTCCGTTCTCAGAAATCCAGGTGAAAATTGGGCTTCAAATCCCGAACCTAACGCAAAGAAACTCATACAGTACTTACAATCGAGTGCTTTCGTGTAGATGACATTCAAGTCGCTTTTCCTCATAAATGTCCTGCACTGCTTTGTCGCTCCACAACTTCTGAAAGAAGTATTAGAATACTGAGATTAGCGGACATAACTAGAATAACAAAGGGTACTATTTCGAAGGCAGTTGTTTGAGCTTCAAAAATAACCTGAATATAGGTAGGATTTCCTCGTAACTGTAGTAATTTCGTTGATTGTTAACAATATTACACGAGGATATTACAGTAGTAAAGTGCGGTTTAATTTTAAACGGTTAAAAACGTGAAACCCTCTGGGCGAAAGATGATCAGCAAACCTTTATGGCTACGGCCAAATCAGGCGTGAACGGCTCTGACTCCCGTCCTTGCTTTGATCACATCTTGGACGATCAACGCGTCCGCCTGGAAAGATGAGGAATGTAGAAATTACAATAGCAGAAAATGAATAGTAACACGGTAATAACCCTGCACGGGACATGCAAATGACTCCTTCTGTAAAACTCTACTTGTTATAATAGACATGAGTTCTTTCGCCTTGCCCTAAAGAAGGAGGGGAAGGAGCTCTGATGTGGCTGAACCAAACAGGATATGGTTCTCCTTTACAGATGAACTGTGAGTCCCTATGATACCCCCTCCTTGGTTACTATTGCCGTTTCACTTAGACCCATTGCTTCCCTAGTGCTCCTTTTTACGATACGCCTAAAAGAGCTATATCCACCATTATTGAGCACAAAGTTTACGGCGACAAACTAAGATTGAAGTCACGACTGCAG